CCGTTATCTTAGAAGAAACTTTTTAAATACATGTGGTTGGAAGTGAATGAGTTGGAATTTAATCATTTCAATAAATTTTATTGATTCAACCTAGTAAATTTAAATCATTAAAATGGGTAAAAGAGAAAAAAAAATTATACTTCATTTTCGTAAGACCATAAACAGTGAATATATAAATTTAAGGATTCCTTATTTTGTAGTCCACACTATGTTGAACTACAAAATTAGGACCCTTAGATGGCAGTGAAGAGCCTAATATTAGGAGGCCCTCTCTCAATTAAAAAGTTAATATTTTATAGTCTGGTATAGTTTGAACAATACAAAACATGCTTTTTTTTTTTTAATTTAATATATTGATTTAATAAATAAGGACAACAAGGAAAAGCTACTCATTACAAAGTAGTTTTTAACTATTTATTAATGTGTGAAATTAGTTATGGTGAAAAAAAATTTAAAACATGGGATAGATGTTTTTTCAAAAAAAAAAAAAAAAAACAAATTCCGTAAAAAAATTGAGAAAAAAAATTTTAAGCAATAATTTTCTCACTGATATGTTTCATTTGTGCTGGTAGGTATTGTTGTGTGAATGTGTAGATCGACGATGATCCCTCTGTGTGGTTTGTGAAAGAGAAAAGAATGAGAAAGGAGCAGCTGACCTAGGAGAGAGAGAAAGGAGATGTGTTTTAAGGTATGTGATAAGGTTTTTGTATCAACCTATAGTTCTTTGCGTCACCCAATGGCCTCACAAACCAACTTAGTCAAACTTTTGATTTTTTGTTTCAATCCCTATGATATTTTAGTAAGTTAATAGCTAACATATATAACCTTGTGCAGATCACATACTTTTGACAATATTTGTGTCAACAATGTTTACAACAATATTTTCGCTAACACTAAAAAGTGTTTTTCTGACAAAATTTTTTGCATTAACAATGTTGACACAGAAAGCATACATTAGTGTCAACAAATGCAAAAATTGCTGACGCTTTTGGTTGCATTGTAATGTGACATTGTGCTACAGCACATGCAAACATGTTTCTAATATCTTTAAGATCTATATTGCTACATAATATATACAATTGGGTTTTGTAATTAATTCGATTACAATCTAAGGGATGTCATTCTTTGATAATTAACCTGAAAGGTTGCTTCCACTGCTCCACTTTGACAAATTGGTTCTCATCTAAATTTGATAATGACCCACATATGAAAGGTATAACCTCAAGGGCATACTCATCCGGTTCCTATTTAGGATATCATTTAATGTGTTTATTTTTATTTTTAAAAAATAATTACAATATATATTAAATAAGAAATCTTATTTAAGTGATACTTAAATAGAGATAAATAATAAAATTTTATTAACAAATTATTACATCTTTATTTTATTAGTTAAAAAAATTAACTAGTTCTATTAAAAATAAAGGGAAGGAGTAATTTTTTTGTATGTAAAGTACAATATATATACCTTACAAGTATATAAATTAGGGTATATATATTAGGGTTGAGCATTGGGTACGAGTATATCTGATATCTGTGGGTACCTGACTTCTTTGGATAGATATTTTACTTATACCTATGAAGAGATAGTTAAATACTAGATATGAAAAATGCATACTTACTAAGTATTGGGTAAGTATTGGATACGAGGATCAATACTTGCATACTTGACCTGTATACCTGACCCATATACCTAACCTGCATATCTGACTCATATACTAACCTATATTCTAGTTTTATATGGTTAATTTGTAATAGAATGTTATGAAATTAAAATATTTATGTTTTCTTTTCTTTTCTTTTCTTCTATCAGTGAAGATTCAACTAAAAAAAAATAATGTGGATTTTTGTTTGTATTTCTTTTGTTATTGTATATATAAACTTGTATATGTGTGAGTATATATGCTTACGTATTTTGTTTTATATATAAACTTGTATTATATGTATGAACTTGTAGTTGTATATTAGGTTATGTATTTTTAGTCTAAAATTTAACAAGTATAAAAATACACTTGTGGGTATACCTTTACCTAGCAAGTTGGGTATCGGGCATAGATTTTCAATACCTAAGTAAGCAATAGGTCTTGCAATCTTGTACTTGTCACTGTTCAGGTCAAGTACAGATATGCGTAAATACCTGACTCATACCTACCCATGCTCACCCATTTTATGTAACCAATTTCATGTATCCAATGAAGACGAGATCCAAGATCAAAACTTTAAGATTGAGAAGTTTGTGAGGGTCCATATGGGCCTGCTGGCTCACTAGATGGTATGGGCAATGATGTTCCTATTTAGGCCCAATTATGGAGCGACCCAAACCAAGTGTATGGGTTAGAAGATCTTATGCATCATTCTATTCATGACCATTTTGAGAGCTTAAAGGAGGATGACGGTAGTTTTTTTTTTTTGAAAATTGGCGGTAGTTCATTCTAGAAATGATTAGAGAGTGATTCGGGACAACCAGCAAATTGGATGACACGATGGGATAGACAGAGGCTGAAAAAGAGGAAAAAGAAAAAAGGGTAGGCACCGATCGTGCCTATTAGTGTACAAAGAGGCCCTAACAGCTTCAAGAAAAAGATGATGGAGAAGATACCGAATTTCTACCCAAACTCGTCAAAACCTTTTGCAGGTGAATTGGTCTTTGATAATGCCATCGCAAATTGCAACAAGGGGCCTAAACTAGATGCAAACAAAATATGGGGGAAGAATCTGGAATTTTGGTAAGGCTATTGGGATAGTGGCGACTGGAGATGAGAATGAAATTGTCAAGCAAATTCAGTCTATGGAAGAAAGAGATAAAAATAGCTTGATCCCAGCACAGGATACGCATGCTGAAGGCATCAGGAAGGTGAGTAACACAGCCTCATCATAGTATTGTCATGCAATACAAGAGGTTTGGGGTGGATCGGGAAGGAAAAAGAAGTGAGGGATCTTATATGGAGGGAGAAAATTGAGTTTGTAGCACTTCTAGAATCAAAATTGGAGACTATTGATAGACAACTGTGTAGAAGATGATTTTGATTTTGTTGCCAAATCCTCAAATGGGCAATCGGGTGGATTAATATGTATTTGGAATAATAGAATTTTAAAACGGAGCAGATAAATCGAAAGTGAAAACTTTTTGGGGGGTTTTGGTTTTTGGGGAATTGAGGAGATTCCAGTGTACCTGATTAATGTTTATGCTTCCTGTGATGTTACGGAACAAAGACAACTATGGAGGGAATTGTAATCAATGATCTCTGTATATGGTGGAAACTGATGTGTCATGGGTGACTTTAATGCCACTATGAACCATCATGAAAGATCTGAGAACAGAAGCCTTACAAGTACAACTATCGATTTAAAGAATTTTGCTAGGAAATCTTGGACTGTTGGATTTACCCTTAATAGGTAGGAAATTTGCTTGGTATTAGCATAATAGCTTAACCATGAGCAGACTTGATCATTTCTTGTTATCTCTGAAGAGTGGTTGATAAATTGGTCAGAAATGAAACATTGGGGGCTTAGATGTTCAGTATCAAATCACAGCCCCATCCTACTGAGAAACTAGCTAATGAATTAGGGACCAAAGCCCTTCAAGTGCTACGATCATTGGATGATGTAAACACTCTCTATCAATAAAGATCTTGGTCTCACACCATCTACTCTATTTTTACGGTTAACAGATGAATCATCCTAGATTCAAAGAATTGGTTGTTGAAGTTTGGAAGTCTACAAAGATGCAAGGCTAGAAAAGGTTTATCCTAAGAGAGAAGCTGAAGTTAGCCAAAGTAAGGATCAAGGAATGGAGCTTGATGGAATTCTCCAAGATTGATAAAAAAATTGAAGAGACCACAGAAGCGATTACAACCATAGATTTAAAAGGAGAGCAAGGGCAATTCACAGAAATAGAGGTGGATTAAAGAAAGCAACAATTCTTGAACTTGTGGGAAAACTTAAAAATCAAAGAAGGCATGTGGAGACAGAGAGCAAGGAAAGTATGGTTGAAAGATGGAGATGCAATTACTCAGTTTTATCACTAGTCTACTTTGACTACGAATGACACGCCCAATGTATTGGAGCCAAATTCTCATCAGATGGGCAAAGGGAGCCTTTTGAGGAAATTTGTAACACACAGCCTATACATCAGCCAACAATTACCATTGAACCGGGGACCCAATCTATACAAACTTTGAGGCCACAACATGAATGACGTGCACCGCGACATTTGGATGACTATGTTTGTAGCATGCTTCCATCCATTGATTCGAATCAAGCTCCAATCCACTCCGCTAACTCAGGTACCATCTATCCTATTTCTAATGATGTGTCATATGCCTCATTTTCCCTTAATCATCAAGCTTATCTAGTGGGCATCACCTCCTTAATCATCAAGCCACAAACATTTTCACAGGTTGTCAAGAGTGAAAAATGGAGGGAAGCAATGAGAAAGGAGATCACTGCACTTGAGCAAAATGGATCTTGGACACTTGAGTCATTACCTCCAGGCAAGCGAGCTATGGATTTCAAAAGGGTTTACAAGATTAAGTGCAAGCAAGATGGGACAATAAAACGTTATAAGGCAAGGCTTGTGGCAAAGGATTTCACACAAATAGAGGGGCTGGACTATCACAAAACTTTTGCCCATGTGGCTAAGCTTGTTACAGTTCGAGTTTTGCTTGCTGTTGCTTCCATGATCATGACTTTGAAAAAGGAAGGAAAAGGAATGGAGACTGCGCTGTTGAGTTGAGAGGGGTAGTTTTAGGAAAAGAAAAAATTGTTTCTAGAATCATGGGCAAAAGATTCACTCCATAATTTTAAGTGTGGCAATAACCCCACCAGTTTGTCTGCCTCACGAAACTGCTACAAGCCTACTTGGTTAGTCCTCCACAATTTAAAACTAGATTAAAAACAGTATGTTCACAGCATATAGCTTACATATACCAGTCCCCATCAGAGTAATTACTGGTTCTAATCTCTGCAACTATGTCAAGTTACATCATATCACGAATGTTTTAGGAACGTATATAAATATTTCAAACCTGAACTGTTGGACTCTTACTATTAAAAATAATAAGGATGCATCCTCTGTTAATAGAGCAAGGGAGGCATTTAAATTTATTACAAATGTCTATCTTTATAATACAGTCATCTGATCAATTAAACCACTGAATACCAGTACAATTTTGTAAGAAATACATTAAACGAAATAAAATAAAGAAAAACAAGAGCACAGAATGTCACAAACAGCGATCCTCTCCTCATTTTGAATAACCATCTCCTATGGAAATCTGAGCATACATTCTTTCCGTATGTCCAGTATCTTCTCCTATTAAAGACGGATTGGCGAAGAGTTGAGCCATAAATCTCAACACAAAGAGGATATTGCAGCAATATAAACAAAGTGACAGGAACAGCGGCGCCAAGAAATATTATTGCAATGGCTTTCCCCATTTCCATTTGTAGCATCATGTAAAGAGTAGCACAAAATGCTACCATCATTGCTGCAATAGAGATGAAGAGCAAAGAAAGGCCACAAATCAACTTAAAGGGTAACGAATTACGGGAATCTTGACAAGCATAACGAGAAGTGAGAATCCCCATAAACATTAGCACTGAGCTGGATGCAGCGAAAAGAGAAATTGCATCTGATACTAAAAATACCGTGCATGCTTGGGCAGCATACGGTGTTTTAGGATTGAATTTGCTTAAACATTTGGGGAAGCCCGTTTCGTCATCGTTTCCACCAGGAATGGTAAAAACCGCAGCAAACATAATTGTGATAACGAGAACACCTACGACGTTACAAGATTGTGCCATTTTTTTCATCCATCCTTCGGCTTCTTTAAACAATTTCTTGTGCTCTTTATGAAATACTTGGGTAGGAGTTTCACCATCTTTATTTTTCTGTTTGTTGAGCTGTGGAACAATGCTTTCCACTGACTGCATTTGTTTCGTAAATTATAGATGGTAATTGAGACACTATTAGTTAATTTGAGATAACAAACTTATTTAAAAATGAGATTACCTTGAACCAGTGTAGTTCATTTTGCAACTGCAAAGCTGCACCGGAGATGTGATCTAGTTGAGAATGAGGAGCTAATCGTGCAGCTATATGTAATATATTGTTCTGATCTTGATCGGTGGCAGTAACCATATTTGTATCCTTGCTTTCACCAAATGCATCATAAAGAAAGCGCGCGACTTTCTCTTGACGAT